CCTGATATTTCCTCACAATGTATTCCCAAATCACGCTCTCGCGCGGGCATTCCTCACAATGTATGCAGGAATCGCGCTGTCCCGTGGGATTTCTTCGCGATGTAGTCAGACGCTGCGCTCTCGACGCTCAGGAATCACGCTCTCGCTCTGGCCTTTCTCACGACTTACTTGGGAATCGCGCCATCGCTCGAGATTTCCGCACGATTCATGCAGGACGCACGCTTTAGCTTCCCGCCTGCTCGACCTGTCCGCACGGGCCCGCTTTCTCGACCCACCCGTTAGGGTCTATCCGCCCGATCTTTCCGTCTGGTTTTGCCATGTGTTTTCTGCTCCTAGCCCCCCTCCTGCTAATGTCTATCGTGTTCCATCCTGCTCCTTCCCCCTTGTCTCTTCCTTCCATCCGTCCTCTCTTCCCCTGCCTCAGGGGCTGCACGAAATATACACCTTGCAGGTCATATACATATATATATACATACACACACTCCCAAGGGGGTACGATCGAAGACGAAGAGGGCGCGTATCGAGGTTTTGGGATATATGTATCGGATGGCGCGTGAGCAGATAGGAGCGAACAGTCTTAAACTGCATGTTTGTGTGGCTGTTCTTGTGGTTGTGGTTGTTGTAGTTGTTTTAGCCGTAGTTGTTGTGATTGTTGCTGTTGTTGATTCCTAAAGAATACATATTGTTGGTCCCCCGGTAACATGTGTTCTTTCAAGCGAAGAGATCCTCCCAGGGTTCGCACCTGTTTTTTTTGTATCAGGGAAAGTCTTCCTCCTCAAACTGCGCCCCTGGCTCCCCGGCTACAACAACAACGGCTCCCGCTTTTTTTCCTTATGTACTCCCAAATCGCGCTCTCGCACGGGATTTCCTCACACTTTATGCAGGAATCGCGCTCTCGTATGGGACTTCCTGGCAATTTATTTCGAGGCCGCGCCCTCGACACTCAGGAATCACGCTCTCGCTTTGGCCTTTCTCGCGATTTACTTGGCAATCGCGCTATCGCTCGAAACTTCGATTCATGCAGGACTCACGCTTCAGCAACCCGCCTGCTCGACCTTGCCGCCTGGGCCCGCCTTCCCGACCCGCCCGATCTGGTCTATCCGCCCGATCTGCCCGCCTGGTTCTGCCACGTATTTCCTGCTCCTAGCCCCTTCCTGCTAGTGTCTCTCGTGCTCAATCCTTCTCCCTCCCCCTTCTATCCGTCTTTTCTTCTCATGTTTTAGGTGCTGCACGA